GTCTCGCACGAGACGTAAACACGATCCGGATTTCCTTTAATTGTCCTGCACCGTTATCGAAGAAAAAGATTAAAACCGATCCTCGTAATTAAGAGAAAGGATCTCGGAAGAAAAGAGAAGAAAAATATTCAAAGGAAAAGTAAAAAGAGAAAATTGCTCGTTACACTTTTGGAAAAAGTCTAAATGCACACGCGCGTTTCTTTCGAACAAAAATTGGGAATTAAAAAATCCAAAGGAAATAAAGAAAAGGTTGAAAAATGAATTTCTTCTTTTTCTTTTTTTTTTACTTTACTTTTCACTGACGGGAAGGCGTTGAGAGGGAAAAAGTTCAAACAATACACGCATGTTTCTTTCGAACGCGTTCAAACAAAAATTAGAAATTAAAAAATTCAAAGGAAATAAAGAAAAGGTTGAAAAATGGATTTCTTCTTTTTCTTTTTTTTTTTTACTTCTCACTGACAGGAGGGCGTTGAGAAAAAAGTCCAAACACGCTCACACATTTCTTTCGAACGCGTTCGGATGAAAATTAGGAATTAAAAATTAAAAATCCAAAGGAAATAAAGAAAAGATTGGAAAATGAATTTCTTCTTTTTCTTTTTTTTTTATTTTACTTTTCACTGACGGGAGGGCGTTGAGAGGGAAAAAGTCCAAACACGCACGCACATTTCTTTCGAACGCGTTCGGACGAAAATTAGGAATTAAAAATTAAAAATCCAAAGAAAATAAAGAAAAGGTTGGAAAATGGATTTTTTCTTTTTCTTTTTTTTTTTTACTTCTCACTGACGGGAGGGCGTTGAGAAGAGAAAAAGTCCAAACATACACGCACGTTTCTTTCGAACGCGTTCAGACGAAAATTAGGAATTAAAAATTAAAAATCCAAAGGAAATAAAGAAAAGATTGGAAAATGGATTTCTTTCTCTTTTTTTTTTTTTTACTTCTTACTGACACGTGAGCGGAAGGGCGTTGAGAAGGGAAAGAGGGATGCCGAATAAGGCAAGAGAAGGGTGAAGAGTAATCAGCGCCACGCGTAATGCGTATCATTGGCCGGTCCTCGTAAACACGAGGGCAAAAAACAATTATTAAGGGAAGATTGAAGAGAACGGCGGTGAGGAAGGTGCAGAGGGCAGATCCTTGAAACGAACGAGCGTCCTTAGCGCGAGTCCCACGGTTGTTGTACACCGCTCGTTTCGCTTCTCTCTCTCTTTCTCTCTACTGCCGTTGCATCTGATCGAGCGTTAATCGTAAATCGCGCCAATCTTCAACAACCAACGACTCGCTAACGATGTTCTTTGACATTTACCTTTCTCTGCCCTTTCTCTCCAGACGTTTCCAACATTGTCACCGTTAAATTCCGTTTACACAACTTGTTACTTACCTAGCCGATGCAAAGTGTCTTTTATCATTACACGTTTCAAGCGAAGCGTCATCTTCGAACAGAGAGAGAGAGAGAGAGAGAGAGAGAGAGAGAATATCGAAAGCAATTGTCGTTTCGAAGTCGAACGGATGGAGAGTAAAAAATAGATTTAACTAAAAAGATTAAACTAGAAACTGTTCGTTGAATATCAAATATACGATTAATTTAATAAGTGTGTAATAATCTCGAAAGAAAAATATTTTTGTATAAAAGTAACGGAATTCAGGACGTGGTGATTAAACGAACGATTAATAATTCTTCTCTCGGTACATCTTGATACGTCGATCGTGGCTAACTTTTTTTACCCGATACGAATCTCGAAGGAAATAAAATTAAAGATCTTAAAAATGTTCTCTCCGATTTGAAGGGAAAACAACGACAACAACGCAACTTTCTCCATCCGTTATCGATGGTTGGTCTTATTATATTTTCATTACCGCTTGTTTGCCACGTAATAACAACGTAAGAGAATCGTGGACTCGGCGAGCATTAGAGCTCGTTAGAGGGCGAGGGTGAAATCTGTATTGGTACGGCGGAAAAGAACTGGCGCCAACAATTGGAATAGGGGAGGGGGAGGGTGCTCGTAAACATGGGAAAAGATGCGGGCCTCGCGGCTGCATATTTATAAAATGCAAATTCTAATTGCGGTAACAGCGACGCGAAATTAATGATTGCATTTAAAACGCTTTATCAGCGGCTGGCACATTTTAACTCACGTAATAAGCAGCCCCTGCTCCATCGCGTGTATACACGTTCGGTCGAACGAAAAGCGCGGTGGCATAAATTTTTATTAAAATAAAAAAAGGAAGGAAAGAAGGAGAGAGAGAGAAATATCAACCCTATATAAAAATACCACCAAACTATTTCATTTCGTCGAATATGCGAATAAATTCAATTATACGAATATTATTCGTCGAATAAAATAAAATAAAAATACGATTAAAATTCACTCGAATCATTTTTGGATATGATCTATCTGTACTCTTATTTCTTCGTTTATCCGACCGTTACATCATTGTTTCGCGTTAATTTTTTCGATCTTATTTATCGTAACATTATCCTTTATCTTAAAGCAACGATAAGATCGATACAATACGAAAAAGAATTTCTAATTTTAATAACAAGTTGACCTTCCAAGGAAATATTCTTCGAACGCAAAGGATTAATCCCCCGATCTGATCCTTTGTGTACAGGACAATGATGGATTGAGATTAATTTTAATAACAAATGAGCGGCAGAACTGAACAGATCGTCTCCTTCGTGTCAACTTGAGACTCGAGATAAAAAAAAAAAAAAGAAAAAAAAGAAGGGAGTACACACGATTCCAACGTATTCGTAATTTCACCAAGAATTGAAACAATTTCGCGTTAAGACACGAACCATATATTTCGCAAGTTTCGCGGACAGATGACGCGGAACGAAGGCACCTCTGTTAAAAGCCATGTTAACATATGGCATGGTTAGCGTGATCTTTCGGAAAAAATGCGCAAGTTTTCGTGCCGTCGACCCACGGAACACCGGTGTTTCTCCGCCTATTGGGGCGGTACTTGCATTTTCGCAAACGCGTTTGCACAAGTCTGCAAACAATCGGTCGCCTCTTGCACGTCTCTATACTCTATCCAACCACTCGAGACCAGAGTTGGGCATTAACCCGTTGAAAAAGTAACTAGCTAAAAATTTCGGGTGAACTTACTTTAAAATGCTCGAATAACATTTATTCAAGCAATATAATTGATCCGCTTTTGT